GATCTCGGAGGAAGGAGTGTTCAATTAGATCCCCCAAAACACATCCTGGTATAAATCAATCGTCGTTATTTACTACCTTAATTTGTGTATTGTAAAATATTTGTTACGTAAAGATCATTTGAATGTTTTTTAGAGTAACAAGCTTGAATAAGGGGCAAGGGTTTGAAGTCTAGACCCGACTGATCGCGGTTCAAGTCCTGACAGGGACACAAAAAGTACGCCCACTGCTGACAAGTTCCAAACAGGACGAAACNGACTTTTTCGGGTAAAACAGAACACTGCTGTGGAAATGTTTGTGATAACCAACAAAGAGCACTGGACAGCAGTTTCGTCCTCTTTGGGACGTAAATTCTGTGTCCCTGTCAGGACTCGAACCGCGAGCAGTCGGGGCGGGACTTCAAACCTTTACGCCTGAGCTACACGGTCGATGGTTGTCACCTTGTGCGAATGGCCCAATCAATTTAGAGTATCGAGCTTGGATTAGCCCATTCGATTGTTCAGAGGCACCAAGAACTCTAGATTGCCTTCGGTGTGGCTTTCACTCCTTCGGTTTGAAGTCCCGACCCGACTGATCACGGTTCGAGTCCTGACAGGGACACAAAAAGTACGCCCACTGCTGACAAGTTCCAAACAGGACGAAACAGCTGTCCAGTGCTCTTTGTTGGTTATCACAAACATTTCCATCTCATTTGAATGTGTTCATGTGTTCAAATAGTTTCTTTTAAATATCCGGTTATAAGTGAATTATTTAATACCTGAATAGTGTTTTGATTTCATTAGTTGCAAACAGTGGGGAATTAACAATCTCCCAAGGAGTGAAACCCACACCGAAGACCATCAAGTGTGCCTGGTGACAGGTGCTAATGAAAAGTTTTAAGAATCGTGGGAAAGAGCGCAAGAAAGGTTATTTTCCAACTCCGCGATCCTAGGAAACAAAAGAACATCCACAATACCGTTTAAACTAGCGTAGAACATTATTAAAAGGTTTACAGTGAAACAAACAAAAAACGTTTTTCTTGCCACGCACAATAATTGTTTGACNAAACTGTTCATTGCAAAAGGTTTGTATATTCCACATGAAGCTGTTGAGATCAATGGATTAACGGGAGTGATAATTTTAAAACTAGAATAAGCCGCAACTTGAACGCGCTTGAAAAACAATGGTGTTCAAATTCTGTTGAATCATTTCCATCAAACCATTTTCTTCTTTATAATTGCATTCGATCAAAATGAAGAAATGAGCACATACGCATGAACTTATGTTCTCTCCCTGGGAGGCACAAATCGGCACACATTCGTTAATTGTGCTGCAATCGTTATTGATCTGGTTTGTGTTTCTTAGCAAAAGACAAACACGAAATGCCGAACGTTCCTCACAAAATCAACAGCAACACTCCCCCCTCCCCACGAAGACAATATTGTTCACGTTTGCCAGATACTTTTGTCCCATATGTCATGCCGTAAATCTGACTGCTGTGTAACAGTGCAAAATGTTCCTTCTACTGTCCGCTCTAGAAGACGGCCAGAGGAGGATACTTCCAGGCCTCACACGTTGACACCCCACTGGATAGCTGACTTTATTGTTTTTCATAAATCATGCGGGGAACTGTTGTTAATCGATTTAGAAAAGGGTTTGGTGTTTGACGTGGATATTGCAAGTCTGTTTGTCGCTTACTGTACAGCGATATTTGAATATGCTGTTCAATGGATTATTCCGAGGGAAAATTATGGCCAAATAAATTTGTGTCAATTTCGAACGGTGTCATTAAATGGCTAACAATCATTCGATTATGTTTTGGATCAGCTTTATTCGTGCACCATTTTGACCTTGGCAAACACTAAGTCTGTTCTCGTGGGAGCATGATCATAGGATATGTTGAATTCAACTATTTCGTGGTAATCTCATCAACTCTGTACACATACGTTCAGATCACGTTTGGTTAGAACAACGACAGGACAGGCAAACACACACGGGGTAGAGAAATCAGTCAATCAATGCAAAGGCCGAAGGTCAGTAATATGAACCGGATGGGGCATAGGGACAGGGAACGGAATCACTTCAGGATGGGGGAAAGCGAGAGAGAGAGAGAGAGAGAGAGAGAGAGAGAGGAGTACAGTGACACCTACCAACGGGCAGCGCGAGGCTAGCCACGAATTCCCACAGAATTTACGGTCACAATGAAGTAAGGTTGAAATACGTGTGAGCACAGATGATGACAACCAGAACAGCATCACTGTCGGTTCGCTCGCATGTTACTCACTGCATCCAACGAATTGATCACAATGTCATCTGGATCATAATCAAGATGGTAGGAGATTCGAGGATGAATGGCGGCGGAACGGAAATACTGGTAGAACCGATTATAAAGTTTGTGAAATGGTTTTATTGTCGTCATCACTCTCATCTTTGATAGCAAGATGGGTAGCCTGAACACCAAAGTCTATCACTCAAAATGCTCCCCCCCCCCCNGTGTATATGCCTTGCCAACGTGATCCCTGTCCGAGGTATTCAACCATAAGTCGGCTTCTGCAATTATAACCAGGGGAACTTCAATCGAGTGTACTTGATGATCATTAGTTGGCACCCTGTTTACCAACAGCCCGGTCTACAGTTTGCACTTCTGAGGATGCGCTCTGATGCAACAATATTCAGTCCCTGGAATGTGACCTAAACTCGAGATATCTGGACTTGTAACGACCAGGAGCCAAAAATCATTTTAATCCTGTGCGATTTTAAATGTGTATTTCGATTTCATTGTTTCTATCACCAACATTTGCCTTAAAATGTCTCCCCGGGTTTAGCAAACAGTATCAGCACAAAATATCCTCTTTGGGATTTGGTAAAACTATTCAACCTCTGCGACGTTGGATTAGGACATATAAATTGCTTGTAATGATTTCGGTGATAATCAATAGTCTAGGGGCCTGTTTGGCAGGTTGACTAAAGCGGCCGATTTGCAATTCAAAACTCGCCAGTTTGACTCCCTTCGAGCAATGTATATGAACTTAGAGCCACTATATTTTCATTCCATTATAGCTAGAAAATTAGAAAACATTTTCCCCTTAAGGTATAATCGATTTCATCTACCACTTAGACTTCCTTAGCAATGCTCATCAACTGATAGGCACTATACTCAGCTCAAGCCCGATACAGCTAGGGAAATCATATGAAAAATCAGTAAAGAAGACAAATTCTCGTAACGAAATGAGTGAGTAATCCAGGGCTTAATGTTTTACACCGCTTTGATTGGTGTTACGAGGGGAATGGTAGATATTGGCCCATGTCATACTGTTGTCTTCGTTCTTCTATTGAACATCTTCAAGTAGTCGAAGACCAGAATAATGCCCTCGCATTCGGCCAAATGCAATGAAAAGGCTGGTTCGGTAAAGGCTCCTTTAAGTAAACCTCTAAACAAGTGGTTGGTTACTTCTGCTTATTTCCATTCACCTCCGAATTATGTGCAGCAACTTGCAGGAAATTATTCATTGGAACGTCTCCGGTTATTTGCTAGGTACCATCACAATGATGCCACATTTTCCGTATTTCATATCATCCCCGTGATCTGTATGTCATCCGTCACGGTCGCACGTTTTTTCTATCTTCAATCTTCAGTTGTTAAGGGCAGTGGGAGGTCCCGTATTAGCCCCATCTCATTGAGCTCCACTAGGCTGATTAGGTGTTGATACCAGACCAGTGCTCTTCTATAGCTCTGTCGAGTTTTATCTTGAAGATGCTGTCGTTTGGCTATTCCACCAGGTCCTCCGGAAGTGCATTCCAGAGATTTATCACCTTCCTCGACAGACGATAGATCAGCGGCAGACCGTTTGACTGCATCTTGCGGAGCGTCAGTGTGTGCCCTCCGATGCGGTTGTTGTTCCTGAGGGGGAATTCCAACTGCAATTCTGGGCCAAAGTCGACCCGGATGATGCGTCTGGTGTAAATCAGGTCGTCTCTCAGTTGTCTGTATGACATGGGGAACAGTCCCTTTGCACTCAGTCAGCCCTCGTAGCTGATCCCACGTAGTCCTTCGACGAGGCTTGTAGCAACCCTTTGAACTCTTTCCAGTTGGGCAACTTCAGAAGCCGTACAAGGAAAGACCGTCGGACCGCCATATTCCAATCGGGGGCGAAAGTGGGAGGCATACAGCAATTTGAAGGCCTCCAGGGGTAACGGACCAAACGAACGACAGATAGCACCCAACAAACTCCACGTAAAGGCACAGGCTTTGTCTGTCTGTGAACGAGTTTTCAGGTTGCTGATGACGACAACACCCAAATCTCGTTCCTCCGTTGATTTCCGGAGCACAGTACTTCCAAGAAGGTAGCTGGTGGTGAGACCGTGTCCTCCTATCCTCATGTGGGCGCACTTGGAGATATTCACCGGTAGCCCCCATACCCTCGACCAGATCATCAGAGCGTTTAGGTCATCCTGAAGAGAAAACTGGTCCGCCTCTACCCGGATTGTTCGCCAGAGCTTGAGGTCGTCCGCATAGATTAGGCACGGGCTACTCAACGTTGACGGTATATCATTCGCAAATATCAGGAACAACAGTGGGCCAAGAACAGAGCCTTGTGGGACACCACTTGTGACTGTGTACCACGCAGATTGCGCCTGAGAAACTCTTATTGAGAATGATCTCCCTTTCAGGAAATCCTCCAGCCAGGGAATTGCGGACCCTGTGACACCCAAGTCCCTGAGCTTAATGAGCAACTTGTCGTGAGATATTTTGTCGAACACCTGGCTAAAGTCAACGAAGATAAAATCCGTACCATATACCTCGTCCTTACCTCTAGACCAACGTTCCCGAGCAAGCGGCAGATTGGTCATGCAGGAACGCCTCTGGGGGAAACCATGTTGTTACCTACACATCCACTGAACCGCCAGTTCCTTGAGCATGAGGGGATGAATACCATCCAAACCTAGAGACTGACTCGTCTTGACCGACTGGAGCACTCTTGTTACCTCCCCTTCTGAAAACTCTTCGAAGGTGAACATCGATATGGTTCTGGCTGCTGTTGGTGGGGATCCAGCATCTATCGTGTACATTGAGCGGTACTGCTTGGCCAGTGCTTCCGCTTTACCTTCGTCGGTGTCAACCACGTCAACTCTATCAATCAACGCTGGGATACCAGCTCTAGCTCTCGTGCTCCGCTTTAGGTAAGCAAACAGTCGTTTAACAGCCTTCACTGAGTCAGCTGCCAGCTTCTCCTCGAAGGTCCTCCGCTTGGATCGTTTCAACTCCGTTCACTCGTTCCGTATTCTCCGATAGAGGTTGTAGCCTGCACTGGTGGTCCGAAACGCTTCCCAAGCGCGGTTTCGGCACCGGATTAATCGTTGCAGTTCAGGATCAAACCATGGTGGCCCAATTGTTCGCGGTCTGTTGCGAGTTGCTGAGGCGAATGTGTCAGTTAGGTGGAGAATACCATCCCGAATGCGTTCCCAAACCAACTATAAGTCGTTCACGTCACGGGAGATCGGTGGGAGCCACGGCACAGCCATGGCGGCTGCCCGTGCCGAGTCAAACTGTGTGCGCCATACATTTCGACCTCTATGTAGTTCCAGAGGTGCTTGGGAAGGATTCTGCCAACGAATAGCCAATACCATATGGTCATTGCACCCTAACGGAGGGTGGTGCTCGATTTGTTCTACATCTGAACTCCTCGGTGATATCACTAGGTCTACAATCGATCCTCGCCCACCCTGCTGCCGCGTCGGTGACTACACATGCTGAGACAAAGAAAGTTCCTGCAATGTACACGGCAATTCATGAGAGAAGTGATCCGCGCCGGGTCTGGTCAGTCTTGCGACCCAGTCCACGTTAGGAGCGTTGCAGTCCTCGAGAATAAGGCATCGATTGTCACCTTCCCATCTACGCTGGGTTGTCAGGAGTTCAAGGACGGCTGCCGCTGGGGTTCGATATAATACCCCTATGTTCACTTATCCTCCTAATGTTAACTTGGCACGACACCAGACCGCTTCTCCGAAATCTGGTGGGTCCGCACATGTGTCCAGTTGCTCCGCAGGGACGTCAGATCGGACGAACAGTGCTACACCTCCACCAATCCGTCCAGGATTTCTGTCGCCTCGAAACATGATATACCCGGGGGGAGCGACTTCCGAGTCCATAATGTAAGCGTTTTACCAGGTTTCAGTGAGCGCCATCACAGTTAGACTATGATTCTGCACCCAGATTTCCAACTCTTTCTCAAAAGGCCCTTAATATTCGTCAGCATTATATCGGGTCCTCTTCGGTCTACTCCGGACCTCCTCTCCCCCCCCACCGAAAGCCCTACCCCGGAGTCGTTGTTAGAGACGCGATCAAAAGAGGACTTCACCGGAAGTAAGGGCGAGCGAAAACCCCAAATTACGAGATTTTCTTCCTCATTTGAGCGGCGCTCGTGTAGTTCTGAGAGCGCTTTTCTTAGTTGGTCCCTCTGCACGGAGTCTAGATCTCGAAGGATGCGTATCCGTTCGCCCTTGAGCCTGTGTCCGCTGAAACACGGAGGCGGCCTCACCTTCCGATCCTAGAACCACCTTAAGAGAACCAGTAGAGCCAGCAGAGCCATTTGCGAGCTTCCCAAAGAGGAACGCTGACTTTATACAGATGTGTTTTGCCGAGGTTTCTTCTCCCGGGATATATAGCCGTCCCAAAGTCTCTCGCAGCAGGTTGATGTCGTGGTTGAGCTTGATCTGCGAATCGACTTCCTTTGACTCCGGCAGGTTCACAACAATGAGACATTCTTTGCGCGATGGTGGGGTGTTGCGAGCCCGCAGTATGGTCCATGCACCATCCTCGCTGACTCGGTTCGCGTTTGCATTCCGTTGAATGCTGTGTGATATACCGGATCCGGGTTTGACGCTTTTGGGGGCTTCCTTTTGTGTAATCTGAACCGTCAATTAAATTGAAGCCGCTTTCTTTGTCTTGCGTTCGCCACAGGGAGGATTAGGAGACATTGTTGGAGCGGTCTGACGATCTCTACACCTTCTGCCATTTGTGGTTGATGGAGTTGATGTTACCAAGGGTGGTTATCACAAACACTTCAATGGCATCAGGTTCCAAATGCAAACACATTCCTGAGTTCATTCAATCAACCTTGCTCCGAGGTAGCACCATTATTTTCCAGTTTTCCCGTCCACGGAGCTCATCAATGATGCATATCCAGAAGCACATCTAATGTTGAGACCCCAGGTGCTTCGCATCTGGCGTTCCAATCAGCTCCCACTCGTACATTATAATTCAACCTGCAGTTACTCACGAGTAGCTAACCAATTGTCCTTGAAGATGTTATTTATACCAAACTAAATCGGTGATATTTGTTAACCTGTTTGAAATCATAGCAACACAACTTCTGTACAATCGGGTCAGGGTTGCAGTCCGATGCTAGTTCCCGGGGTACACAACGCCGATGAACTTCAGCGCTAACATAATTTTAACTTGATGCTGCCGCGGGCAAATGATTGACTAACTGAGTCGACGACGTTGAGTACAACTGAAGTTTGAATTGCAGTCGGACGAAATCACCAATAAAACGTATTCCTCACCGAAACTTAAACGTGGATGGAAAAGATGCAACCCATGTTGTATCTTTAGTGTGTGTTCTTTTTCAGAGAACCAACTTATTCATTTGCTTCTCAAACTGCGTTACTGTGAAAATTAAAAAAAATATACAATAAATCTCAAGTACATGCAATGAACACGCACTTGTTGAATGATAGAATGAACGGGACAACTGTTTCCTCTTGTTTTGGGGCTCGTCAGCAGTGCATATGTTTTGCTTCCGTGCGCATGATTGAAATATACTGTTGTTTTTTGCTTTCACAGCACAGTACGTGAAACTGCTCTGAACGGACGAACGTTCCCGTGAGATTGAGGTAGTGGGTTGAGATGGGTTGTAATCTCAGAAAACCTAGCACAACAGAAGCCAAGTTTGAATGTAGTCCATGAGATGTTGTTGAGGTCACCCACTACTTAAATTCATAATCTTCTCGCTGAACTCTGTTCCTATTTTCGGTATGAGGACAGCCAGGTGCACTGACTCAGTTCCCCGTTGAGGCTTGTCCTGCTTCGTGGTCCACGTGATCTTTGCCTGAGCCATTCCTATCGCCGGTCGTCGACCATTTTGAATAAGAGCATATTATGTAGGTTGGGAAGTAACTTTGTGCAAATCGGTAAAAGAGTTGGTACCAAGACTGAAACACCCTGAACGAAGATTAAGCTACTGCAGAAGGACACTGTAACTCTTTACTGCGTTCAAACGAATCAGGTGTATTGTTTGTGGTGGTCTATTGTTAACACTGGTAAAGCATAAAGATGTTACTTTGCCTTGCGCACTCTCTTCTTTTCATAGTACATCCCTGTGCACATATTCCATTCCTAACTAATCAAGATTTCTTACGGCTCTTATCAGTTTCAAATCTTGTAAATTCAGTATTCCAGCCTATTTACATTCGTCTCATTGTGCATGCAACCAGCTGCTTCACTTCGAATGATGTGGTCTTCATAGCTCATTATGTAACTCGTATATCCTTGACTGCATTTGCCAAATCTGTAAGACATGCTTTCTTGGAAGATTTATATGTCTTCCAGTTTGTTCCACTATCCTTCTTCATCCGTCGAATGAAAATATTCATTCAATAATCTATTTCACACTCACGAGTTTCATACATAAGATCTGCATCGATTCCGAATTGATCGATGTGTCTCAAATGTATGTTGACAATCTTCAGGACACCCGTTTCTCTCGCTCCCAACAGCACAGAACGGCTAACAGGAGTGGTTTCCCTAAAATATTTGTATAGCACCGATTTATATAGGTAAGNAAGTGAGTATTTTACGGTTAATAAAACGATGTGGAGAAATTTTGAGAACGACCTTGTCTAAAACGAAGACCGAGAGAATTCAGCGGTGTTCTAGATGCAACTCCAAGTTGGATTTTTTTATTCGTTTTTCTATCTTGTTAAGGAATATTGAAACAGTCTTAGCTACAAGATGTCAGGGACCGATCGGGCAGTTTCTACATCTCTCGATGGATTATCTGCACAAAAACGGGACAAACTGCATACAAAGCTCTTCCCGACCGTGCTCAATCGCTGCATGACAATCTATTCAAGTTTCACTCGCTCATTGCATCAAGCCATGCACATCGCTTGTTATCCTCCAGTAATAACATCAACAGAAACTCAGCTGTTCCTTATCAGGATCAAATCGACCCAAATCGAGCCTGAATATTTGCATGATTTCCAATCGAAAATTGAACTTTAATTTTCCACAATTAGTAATTCTTTATTCAGACTTACCACCCTTAAGGCTTTGCACTTATGCGTAATCCTCAGGTCAACCGGTCAAAAATTCAAACATGCATTCAGGTAACACTAGACTTCAGTTTCACCGTCAATAAGTCTGAGTAATCGATACAGTTTGTTTACCCGCCATCCTATCCGAGCTTTGAAATCCCGNATCAATCCTGAGGAGAATATTTCCACCCGATTTGTATCCCTTACCCCCTCCGGTTCGACCCAAATATGAACATTTTCAAATTTAAACAAAAAAAATTAAACTAGGATCCTTTATAAATGGCTCATCCAATCTCATTATTTGCTATGATTAATTGACTTTTTGGTCAAATTTTCAANTGTTTTGCTCCGGAAGACCGTATAGTGGCTGACCGTATGCGTCTTTTTTCGTTTACATACTGTGAAAATATTATCCTTTTGCATGAAAAGATTATATTTGAATAACCGCGGCATCAATCATTCTCGACAATCAAGTTACTTTTACCAACGCAATTTACATCATAATGCTGAGAGTTGCTCGCTTTGGCAGTTTATAAGCCAAATGGCATGATCTTTTACATGTTACATCATTTCACGCTATCCACATGCACAGAACTTTGGCCCTCTCATCGCAAATACCAATCAATATGAGTTGAAGAGCAGGAAACTGTCGTGTCGAAAGTCATTTGAAATTCCAAGGTGTTGCACTTTAGCGCTTACTCTGAAGTTTTTACATGCACCAACTTTTGTTGAATTGTGCCCCCAAACTGGACAACGGACAACATTTCGGAAATTATTACAAGTTCGAAAATATTGCGCTATCACCGAAAATAAAGCTGAATGCAAACAGCCATGCATCAATGTGTTAATGCAGGTCTTTGCTGGTACTGAACAAGTCGGAGGTTTTGAGGAAAAAATCATCTGATTTATGTGATAGTGAACTGCGGTCTACTACGACGCAATCCTCAATTCCACTTCCAATTGGCCGGAGGTGTTCCTAAGATGCATCCTGATTGCATCCTTTGTAGTATACACCCCAAAAAGTGTTCAATTCTTGGGGGAATTCCACAAGTATTGATGATCGACAGCAGATCGAAACTCTGCGCAGCGGAGATGAAACAGACCGTGGCTGGATTGTATTGGTTGCCGACGTTTAGAGACAGCGCCACACCATCCATCCCCGGATGGCGCAGCAAAGAATTTTGTGAGCATGTTTGAGCATGCCATTGCATCGGGAAAGCCGGAGAGGTTGGTTCGGGTTGAAGGTATTTGTGGTAATCGAAATAGTTCTGAATATAAGAATGCGAGAACCCGTACCGTA